TGTCTCCGAAATAAATAATTATAAAAAAAATTTTAAGATTTCTTCTCTTAGCAGCTTTCAAATATGCAGCAGCAATGCTATTAACTGCGGTCACCATGCTGTGCATTATATTTCCAGGCCTGTTTTATAACCGAAAGTTTGTACCTTCTCACTTCCTTTACCCATTTTGACCACCCACCCCCTTGCCTCTGGCAACCACTGGTCTGTTGTCTAAGCTTAGTTTTTTGTTTTGTTTTTAAATTCTGCACTTAAGTGGGATTGTACAGTATTTGTCTTTCTCTAACTTCTTTCAATTACCATATTCCCTTAAGGTCCCTCCACGTTGTCACAAATGGCAAGATTTCATTCTTTTTAATGGTTGAATAGTATTCCAGTGTGTGTGTGTGTGTGTGTGTGTGTGTGTGTGTGTGTCTGTGTCTTATATACCTTCTTTTTTAAAAATTTTTTTAATGTTTTTTTATTTATTTCTGAGAGAGAGACAGTGTGAGCAGGGAAGGGTCAGAGAGAGAGGGAGACACAGAATCTGAAGCAGGCTCCAGGCTCCGAGCTGTCAGCACAGAGCCCGACCCGGGGCTCGAACCCACAAACTGTGAGATTGTGACCTGAGCCGAAGTCGGACACTTAACCAACCAAGCCACCCAGACGCCCCTATACCTTCTTTATCATTCATTCATCAGTGGACACTTGGATTGTCTCCATATTTTGGTTATTGTCAAGAAGGCAGCAATAAACATTAAATGGTGAATTTTATGGTATGTGAATTATATCCCAATTTTAAAAATCAAGCGCATTTCCAATACTAATGGTGAACATTAAGAAACAAATTACAACCATCATAACATTTCAAGTAATGCAAAGAAGTCAAATACCTAGGTGTTCAGTTGGCAAACCGTGCCCCTGAGCTGGGTACTGGACACCACAGAAGGCTGATGCAGTTACTGAGAACCGCACAAGTGGGTGGGCACCATGTGTCTGCGGATGGAAACGTAGTATGGATGTTCGTTCTCCCCAGCCTGCCTGCCTATAAGTTTAATTCAGTTTCTATCAAAGTCCCAGGAGGGCTTTTGCAGACATATATACAAGATTAACTGTAAAATTCATATGGAAATACACAGGCCATAAAATAGCTAA